GTGCCTTTCAGCAACCATTGCTGTGTTAGAAGTGTTATTGTAATTGTATTTTATTTTTAACACTTGAAAAGAGCAGAGAGGCCCGGATCACCTTTAACGACGTTTCGATCCATAGTCAAGCACAGTGAAACACTCATGTATCCTGTGAATTTGATAGGCTCCGATGATACTGGCTATAACTGGGTATCTCCCCCTTACTTTACTTGCATACTCATACTGGCTGCTTTGATTCCCTATATAGTGTACTACTTTTGACCAGAGCCCATAGGACCCATATGGATTACTTTGACTATTTGCTTTTATTACGTTCCGACATTTAAACTCTGATGTAATATTATCATTATATTGTCTATTGTTGTATATTAGGACTTTTTTTATATATAGATATTGTAATAGTGTGTTATATTGTAGCATTGTATTGATGTTGATAGTGTTCTGCCCAGGGACTACAGATGAAAATGAGCTATCTAGCTAAATCTGGTGCAATGGCATGATGTACATGGTCCCTGACAAATGAATGAATAAATAAATACGTACATTTTGACATAAATTTGAATGTCACCACACTGGCAATCATAGCGATCGCTTTAGTTTAACTCTAGTTCATGGGATGATAGGAAAGAAGAAGAGTGGAAGGTGTGGAGAGAGAGAGAGGAGGAGGAGGGTAGGAGAGAAAGGTAGATGGGATGGGGGTATAAGCTTGATTCTGACAGACTGCAGTCCCTCAATCTGTCTAGACTTCATTCAAGGGGACTAACAGACAAACTGCTCTTCTCTGCTCATCTGGAGAAGCATCAGCCTACATTTCTGCAACACTGACCACAGAGGTAACAATAGCACCTTCATTCTTATATCACATTTTCTTCTCTGTTTGTGTTTGTTTCTTTTTTAACCACTCCAAAAAGAAGTTCACTCAAAAAGAAAGTTATTCTATTCAATTCTATTCTGTTCCTGTAATTGGAGGAATCTTTTTTTTTTCTTCATTTTTTAAAACTAAAAACATCCTCAGTTCAGCTGTGTGCTGTGATGGGCGATTCTGTTTTTATGCTGTAATTGTTTGTTGGTTCTTATAACTGTACTGTATATCTATTTGCTAAGAAGTTGTAATGAAACTCCAAATTACATGAAATTGTCTGATTTCCTTTCCAAATGTGAACATTTTACAAACAAACAAAGTAATTTTAAGAGACAGTATGTTTTATTTGTCCCAAGATTGAATTCACGTTTTAGTCTAGTTTGGAGGTATGGCATTTTTGGAGGCCATCAACAATAATGATACAATCATATTGCTTCAGTGTGAAGATGTATCAGCTGCTTAGGATGACTTTGGATTTGTATAATAACATCTAAACATGCACTACCAGTCAAAAGTTTGGACACACCTACTCATTCAAGGGGTTTTCTTTATTTTTACTATACTTACATTGTAGAATAATAGTGAAGACATCAAAACTATGAAATAACACATATGGAATCATGTAGTAACCAAAAAAGTGTTAAACAAATAAAAATATATTTTATATTTGAGATTCTTCAAATAGCCACCCTTTGCCTTGATGACAGCTTTGCACACTCTTGGCATTCTCTCAACCAGCTTCTTGGGGTAGTCACCTGGAATGCATTTCAATTAACAGGTGTGCCTTCTTCAAAGTTAATTTGTGGAATTTATTTCCTTCTTAATGCGTTTCAGCCAATCAGTTGTGATGTGACAAGGTAGGGGGGTATACAGAAGATAGCCCTATTTGGTAAAAGTCCAAGTCCATATTATGGCAAGAACAGCTCAAATAGGCAAAGAGAAACGACAGTCCATCATTACTTTAAGACATGAAGGTCAGTCAATCCGGAAAATTTCAAGAACTTTGAAAGTTTCTTTAAGTGCAGTCGCAAAAACCATCAAGCGCTATGATGAAACTGGCTCCCAGACTGCCACAGGAATGGAAGACCCATAGTTACTTCTGCTGCAGAGGATAAGTTCATTAGAGTTACCAGCCTCAGAAATACATATATATATACACAACCGTTCAAAAGTTTGGGGTCACTTAGAAATGTCCTTGTTTTCAAAAGAAAATCAATTTTCTTGTCCATTAAAATAACATCAAATTGATCAGAAATACAGTGTAGACATTGTTAATGTTGTAAATGGCTATTGTAGCTGGAAACGGCTGATTTTTAATGGAATATCTACATAGGCGTACAGAGGCCCATTATCAGCAACCATCAGTCCTTTGTTCCAATGGCACGTTGTGTTTGCTAATCCAAGTTTATCATTTTAAAAGAATAATTGATCATTAGAAAACCCTTTTGCAATTATGTTAGCACAGCTGAAAACTGTTGTGCTGATTAAAGAAGCAATAAAACTGGCCTTCTTGAGACTAGTTGAGTACCTGGAGCATCAGCAATTGTGGGTTCGATTACAGGCTCAAAATGGCCAGAAACAAAGAACTTTCTTCTGAAACTCGTCAGTCTATTCTTGTTCTGAGAAATGAAGGCTATTCCTTGCGAGAAACTGCCAAGAAACTGAAAATCTCGTACAACGCTGTGTACTACTCCCTTCACAGAACAGCGCAAACTGGCTCTAACCAGAATAGAAAGAGGAGTGGGAGGCCCCGGTGCACAACTGAGCAAGAGGACAAATACATCAGAGTGTCTAGTTTGAGAAACAGGCACCTCACAGGTCCTCAACTGGCAGCTTCATTAAATAGTACCCGCAAAACACCAGTCTCAACGTCAACAGTGAAGAGGTGACTCTGGAATGCTGACCTTCTAGGCAGAGTTGCAAAGAAAAAGCGAATATCAGACTGCCCATCTTAATATTTTCTTTTTATTGGCCAGTCTGAGATATGGCTTTTTCTTTGCAACTCTGCCTGGAAGGTCAGCATCCCAGAGTAGCCTCTTCACTGTTGACTTTGAGACTGGTGTTTTGCGGGTACTATTTAATGAAGCTGCCTAACATAATTGCAAAAGGGTTTTCTAATGATCAATTATTCTTTTAAAATGATAAACTTGGATTAGCAAACACAACGTGCCATTGGAACACAGGACTGATGGTTGCTGATAATGGGCCTCTGTGCGCCTATGTAGATATTCCATTAAAAATCAGCCGTTTCCAGCTACAATAGCCATTTACAACATTAACAATGTCTACACTGTATTTCTGATCAATTCTATGTTATTTTATTGGACAAAAAAATTGCTTTTCTTTTGAAAACAAGGAAATGTCTAAGTGACCCCAAACTTTTGAACAGTAGTGTATATATATATATATATATATATATATATATATATATATATATATATATATATATATATATATATATATATTTGCGAGAAAAAAAATACATATGGGGGATTGGAAGTGATGCAGACAGTTACATTGATGGAAGTTACAATCTATCTGTAATATTAAAGCTAATCTACCCCCCAAAAAATACAAAATAATAATAAGAAACCACTACTAAAGGACACCAATAAGAAGAAGAGACCTGCTTGGGCCAAGAAACACGAGCAATGGACATTAGACCGGTAGAAATTTGTCCTTTGGTCTGGAGTCCAAATCGGAGATTTCTGATTCCAACCGCTGTGTCTTTGTGAGACGTGGTGTGAGTGAACAGATGATCTCCGCATGTGTAGTTCCCACCATAAAGCATGGAGGAGGAGGTGTTATGATGTGGGGGTGCTTTGCTGGTCACACTGTCTGTAATTTATTTAGAATTCAAAGCACACTTAACCAGCATGGCTACCACAGCATTCTGCAGCGATACGCCATCCCATCTGGTTTGGGCTTAGTGGGACTATCATTTGTTTTTCAACAGGACAATAACCCAACACACCTCCAGGCTGTGTAAGGGCTATTTTACCAAGGAGGAGAGTGATGGAGTGCTGCATCAGATGACCTGGTCTCCACAATCCCCCGACATCAACCCAATTGAGATGGTTTGGGATGAGTCAGAAGGCAGAGTGAAGGAAAAGCAGCCAACAAGCGCTCAGCATATGTGGGAACTCCTTCAAGACTGTAGGAAAAGCATTCCAGGTGAAGCTGGTTGAGAGAATGGCAAGAGTGTGCAAAGCTGTCATCAAGGCAAAGGGTGGCTATTTGAAGAATCTCAAATATAAAATATATTTTTATTTGTTTAACACTTTTTTGGTTACTACATGATTCCAGATGTGTTATTTCATAGTTTTGATGTCTTCACTATTATTCTACAATATAGAAAATAGTAAAAATAAAGAAAACCCTTGAATGAGTAGGTGACTGGTACAGTAAATATTTTAAATGTACAGAAAAATATCTTTACACCTTTGAAGTCACTAATATTATTATTAACTGCATTTCTGCTGTCACTGTCACTGTCATTTGTTATCCACTTCATGAAGAAAGATGAAATAAAGAAAGTGATTTATATCAATTATCAATACCTTATTGTGGTAATGAAGTTCTTGGTTGATAATAAACAACTTTACAGATGTTCTTGAATATATGACTTCATTGTGGTGGTGGTGATGATGATGATAATGGTGATAATGGTATTTTACAGATGCAGTGTAACTGTAACTCTATAGGATCCCTTCCCTCACCATATTGGAGCAGAAGTAAGGGTCCCACTTTATATTGTGTACCTAAAACATTTTAGTATTTGCATAGGAAGTAATTACATCGTTTAGGCACTGGGCAGGTACAGTGTGTGTACACATTTTACAATGTATTTGCTATCATTGCAAATTGAGGTTTGTGTGGTCTATGTAGGTGTCTGTGTCTATGTATTTCTCTCTGCAAGTGAATCTCAATTGTATTTTCTTGATTCCTCACATCCTCTCTCCTCCTGTCCTTCTCAAAACTTCTTGGAGACGAAGGTCTGAAGGAAAGGACCTCTGACCTTCTCCTACAATACGGTTGAGAAAGAGGTGAGGAGAGAGGATGCAAGGAATGGAAGAAAAACTAACTGATAAAGAGCCTCTGTGTTTACTCTGACGATTCCTCCTGTCTCTTCCTGTTAGCAGTGCTATTCCCTGATTGGGCATACAAGCCTGCGTGGTCGCCTGGCTCCAGACAGGTGCAGCTGTGGCATTTCCTGTTGGAACTCCTGGGGCGGGGTGAGGGCGGGGCGATCGGATGGGGGGGAGAGTGGGGGGAGTTTGTCATCAGAGACCCTGAGAGGTTGGCAAGAATGTGGGGAGAGAGGAAAGGCAAACCCCACATGAACTATGACAAGCTGAGCAGAGCACTGAGGTGAGATAACACACTCACTGTACACACATGGTGATGATAATGGGGATGTTTTACAGATGCAGTGTAACTATAATTCCACAAACACACTAGCACACACAAGTCATGCACACAGGCACACACACATACATATAGACTCTTATGCTAAGCTCACATACAGTAGCCTCGTTCGATCATCCTGATCACACGACCTTAATGAAGTGAAGCTAAATGAGAGTGCAGCAGTCAGGATGGTGGATCAGGCTACACATCACAGGAGGTTGGTGGCACCTTAATTGGGGAGGACGGGCTCGTGGTAATGGCTGGAGCGGAATCAGTGGAATGGTAACGAATACATCAAACACATGGTTTGACGCCATTCCATTCACTCCGTTCCAGCCATTATTATGAGCCGTCCTCCCCTCAGCAGCCTCCACTGCTACACATACAGTGTCAATACTACTGTTGCTCCTTCCTTGTTACCAACAGGTACTACTACAATAAGAGGATTCTTTATAAGACCAAAGGGAAGAGATTCACCTACAAGTTTAACTTCAGTAAACTGATCCTGGTCAACTACCCAGGGTATCCACCTTGCCACCAGGTCAGTATATCCCCTGTTTATCTCAAGGGGTACGTCCCAAATAGCACCCTGTTCCCTATAAAGAGCTATGGGCCCTGGTCAAAAGTAGTGCACTACACAGGGAATAGGGTGCCATTTGGGACTCAGACAAATTACACATATCCTACCATCTTACAATCAGACCAACATCATCTCATATAAGGATGTAATGTTATGAAAACACCTTCTCTTTTTGACTATCTTCCTCATCTCCATACCATCCTCCTTGTCCCTCCCAGCTGGTACCTAGTGTCCCTCTTCCGTTCTCCCTCCCCCGCCCTGAGGGTGGGGTAACTGGGGCCCCACTGTGTGGAGGAGGGGGAGGTGCCATGATGGACAGAGGTAAGAACCCAACCCTCCCTCCCATAAAACCTTATGACAACACACTCCATCATATAATTATTGATCACATCATTCCACCTCAATTTATTTGACATTACTCAGTGCTCATTTCAGGCTCCAAGATTTCAGGGGCTGTACAGTCGTGGTCAAAAGTTTTGAGAATGACACAAGTATTGGTCTTCACAAAGTTTGCTGCTTCAGTGTTATGAGATATTTTTGTCAGATGTTACTATGGTATACTGAAGTATAATTACAAGCGTTCCATAAGTGTCAAAGGCTTTTATTGACAATTACATTAAGTTTATGCAAAGAGTCAATATTTGCAGTGTTGACCCTTCTTTTTCAAGACCTCTGCAGTCCGCCCTGGCATGCTGTCAATTAACTTCTGGGCCACATCCTGACTGATGGCAGCCCATTCTTGCATAATCAATGCTTGGAGTTTGTCAGAATTTGTGGGTTTTTGTTTGTCCACCCGCCTCTTGAGGATCGACCACAAGTTCTCAATGGGATTAAGGTCTGGGGAGTTTCCTGGCCATGGACCCAAAATGTTGATGTTTTGTTCCCCAAGCCACTTAGTTATCACTTTTGCCTTATGGCAAGGTGCTCCATCATGCTGGAAAAGGCATTGGTCATCACCAAACTGTTCTTGGATGGTTGGGAGAAGTTGCTCTCGGAGGATGTGTTGGTACCATTCTTTATTCATGGCTGTGTTCTTAGGCAAAATTGTGAGTGAGCCCACTCCCTTGGCTAAGAAGCAACCCCACACATGAATGGTCTCAGGATGCTTTACTGTTGGCATGACACAGGACTGATGGTAGCGCTCACCTTGTCTTCTCCGGACAAGCTTTTTTCCGGATGCCCCAAACAATCGGAAAGGGGATTCATCAGAGAAAATGACTTTACCCCAGTCCTCAGCAGTCCAATCCCTGTACCTTTTGCAGAATATCAGTCTGTCCCTGATGTTTTTCCTGGAGAGAAGTGGCTTCTTTGCTGCCCTTCTTGACACTAGGCCATCCTACAAAAGTCTTTGCCTCACTGTGCGTGCAGATGCACTCACACCTGCCTGCTGCCATTCCTGAGCAAGCTCTGCACTGGTGGTGCCCCGATCCCGCAGCTGAATCAACTTTAGGAGACGGTCCTGGCGCTTGCTGGACTTTCTTGGGCGCCCTGACGCCTTCTTCACAACAATTGAACCTCTCTCCTTGAAGTTCTTGATGATCCGATAAATTGATGATTTAGGTGCAATCTTACTAGCAGCAATATCCTTGCCTATGAAGCCCTTTTTGTGCAACACAATGATGACGGCACGTGTTTCCTTGCAGGTAACCATGGTTAACAGAGGAAGAACAATGATTACAAGCACCACACTCCTTTTAAAGCTTCCAGTCTGTTATTCTAACTCAATCAGCATGACAGAGTGATCTCCAGCCTTGTCCTCGTCAACACTCTCACCTGTGTTAACAAGAGAATCACTGACATGATAGCAGCTGGTCCTTTTGTGGCAGGGCTGAAATGCAGTGGAAATGTTTTTGGGGGATTAAGTTCATTTCATGGTAAAGAGGGACTTTGCAATTCATCTGATCACTCTTCATGACATTCTGGAGTATATGCAAATTGCCATCATCAAAACTGAGGCAGCAGACTTGTGAAAATTACTCTTGTCATTCTCAAAACTCTTGACCACGACTGTAGATCAGCACTCCTACTCTGAGATGCTTGATACATACGGCCACTACATACAGCCCCTTGTGCTCAAAATATTTGTGACATCTTTTGATGTAAATCAGTGTGTACGTGACTGACTGTCTGTGTGTGTGTCTATTTGTGTGTCTCTTGATTGACAGCCCTCCAGTGTGTCACACACCCTCTCCTGCTGCCGTACTGCCTCCCGAAGCCCATCCCGTTTCCACAGTCCCACTCTCTTCAGGGACACTTACCCTTCCTCTCTGTGCCCCCTCCTCCTGGGAGCTCTAACCCTAACCCGAGTGAACTCTCAGCAGCCCTTCCACCTTCCACCACTGCTGCTTTACACCTCCACCCCAATAGCTGGCCAACCAAGAATGGCTCAGAGTGGGGTTTGAACAATATGAACAGGACCACCAGCCTTTGTGTGGGACTGGGAGCGAAAGAGAGTGGGAGCAAAGGAGGAGAGAGTATTGTGGGAAATGTTAATGGAGAGTAGAGTCAGAGGAAGAGGAGGAGAAATGCAGAGGAGAGAATTTCCTCTTTTGACATTATAATAGGTCTTTGTCTGTAGTTTTTTGTTGTTGAAAAGGCTGTTATTGGGTCCTCCCGAGTGGGGCAGCGGTCTAAGGCTTGACACATACAGTGGGGAGAACAAGTATTTGATACACTGCCGATTTTGCAGGTTTTCCTACTTACAAAGCATGTAGAGGTCTGTAATTTTTATCATAGGTACACTTCAACTGTGAGAGACGGAATCTAAAACAAAAATCCAGAAAATCACATTGTATGATTTTTAAGTAATTAATTTGCATTTTATTGCATGACATAAGTATTTGATCACCTACCAACCATTAAGAATTCCAGCTCTCACAGACCTGTTAGTTTTTCTTTAAGAAGCCCTCCTGTTCTCCACTCATTACCTGTATTTACTGCACCTGTTTGAACTCGTTACCTGTATAAAAGACACCTGTCCACACACTCAATCAAACAGACTCCAACCTCTCCACAATGGCCAAGACCAGAGAGCTGTGTAAGGACATTAGGGATAAAAGTGTAGACCTGCACAGGGCTGGGATGGGCTACAGGACAATAGGCAAGCAGCTTGGTGAGAAGGCAACAACTGTTGGCGCAATTATTAGAAAATGGAAGAAGTTCAAGATGACGGTCAATCACCCTCGGTCTGGGGCTCCATGCAAGATCTCACCTCGTGGGGCATCAATGATCATGAGGAAGGTGAGGGATCAGCCCACAACTACACGGCAGGACCTGGTCAATGACCTGAAGAGAGCTGGGACGACAGTCTCAAAGAAAACCATTAGTAACACACTACGCCGTCATGGATTAAAATCCTGCAGCGCACGCAAGGTCCCCCTGCTCAAGCCAGTGCATGTCCAGGCTTGTCTGAAGTTTGCCAATGACCATCTGGATGATCCAGAGGAGGAATGGGAGAAGGTCATGTGGTCTGATGAGACAAAAATAGAGCTTTTTGGTCTAAACTCCACTCGCCGTGTTTGGAGGAAAAAGAAGGATGAGTACAACCCCAAAAACACCACCCCGACCGTGAAGCATGGTGGAAACATCATTCTTTGGGGATGCTTTTCTGCAAAGGGGACAGGACGACTGCACCGTATTGAGGGGAGGATGGATGGGGCCATGTATCGCGAGATCTTGGCCAACAACCTCCTCCCCTCAGTAAGAGCATTGAAGATGGGTCGTGGCTGGGTCTTCCAGCATGACAACGACCCGAAACACACAGCCAGGGCAACTAAGGAGTGGCTCAGTAAGAAGCATCTCAAGATCCTGGAGTGGCCTAGCCAGTCTCCAGACCTGAATCCAATAGAAAATCTTTGGAGGGAGCTGAAAGTCCGTATTGCCCAGCGACAGCCCCGAAACCTGAAGGATCTGGAGACGGTCTGTATGGAGGAGTGGGCCAAAATCCCTGCTGCAGTGTGTGCAAACCTGGTCATGACCTACATGAAACGTATGATCTCTGTAATTGCAAACAAAGGTTTCTGTACCAAATATTAAGTTCTGCTTTTCTGATGTATCAAATACTTATGTCATGCAATAAAATGCAAATTAATTACTTAAATATCATACAATGTGATTTTCTGGATTTTTGTTTTAGATTCCGTCTCTCACAGATGAAGTGTACCTATGATAAAAATTTGACCTCTACATGCTTTGTAGGTAGGAAAACATGCAAAATCGGCAGTGTATCAAATACTTGTTCTCCCCACTGTATGTCACTACTGGCCATGACCGGGAGTCCCATAGGGCGGCACACAATTGGCCAGTGTTGTCCGGGTTAAGGGAGGGTTTGGCCGGGTGGGCTTTACTTGGCTCATCGCACTCTAGCAACTCCTTGTGGCGGGCCGGGCGCCTGCAAGCTGACTTCGGTCGTCAGTTGAACAGTGTTTCCGCCGACACATTGGTGCAGCTGACTTCCGGGTTAAGTGGACGGGTGCTAAGGAGTGCGGTTTGGCGGGTCATGTTTCGGAGGATGCATGACTCGACCTTCGCCTCTCCCGAGCCCGTTGTGGAGTTGCAGCGATGAGACAAAATTGAAATTGGGAGAAAAAGAAGCCTGTTATTGAAATTAGAATTGTATAATATTATTGTTCCTCTTGAGGTTGTTTTATAATATTTTTGTGTACAAAGCACTTCATGTATAGAGCAGATAAATTGCAATTGTATGATGAATTGTATGAACAGTGCACTTACTTTCTCAACAATCTTCTCCAGAGATGTAGTTGTGTATTATAAAATATTTCAGTTGTCAAATTGTTGTGCTGTACTTTTTGAATATAAAAAAAACTATTTGGTCTACCTAAAGACTCATAAGACATCCCCATCATCGTCACTAACCTACTGTAGCGTCAGTATCGCAGCTGCCGGTGGCTCAACACAACACTAACAACAAATATTTTGTCCCCGGGAGAAACGTCTGCCGATCTACTCTGACTCCAGTGCAGCACTGATGAGCTAAAATTAATGTGTCTCAGAGCAGACAGGATGTATTGTATGAGGTTTTGCAGTGTTTGTATAGGTTGAAACATATGGGGTATTTGTGATGTTCCTCTGGGTACCAGATCATGTGGGAGTAGAGGGGAATGAGGAAGTGGATATCATTGCCAAGCAGGCTCTTAAACGTCCTAATGTTGAGATGGAATTGTCAATCAGTAAAACAGAAGGCAAGGGATTAATAAGAACAGTGGTTAAAAAATAAGTGGCAAGAGTTGTGGAACGGGGAGAGTAAAGGAAGACACCTGTATAAGATCCAGGAAAAGGTGGGGGCAGAGAGGTCCTCAGGCCGAGAGAGAAGGGAGGAAAGTGTAGTCAAAAGGCTGAGACTGGGACACACAGGGGAAACATCCGACTTGGAGGTGTGATCATATGTGAGAGAAAGGGAGCGATTGTTATTAGATTTGAGGAATAACGGGGTTGAAGAGCCAGGATTAAGTGAACTGCTGGGGAAATCTTCAGGGGATGTAGTATTTAATTATGTATTTCGTTTCCTTAGGGAGACAAGATTATTGGGTAGAATTTAGACCAGGACTGCCCAACCCTGTTCCTGGAGCGCTACCGTCCTGTAGGCTCTGTCGTGGCCGGCCGCGACCGGGAGACCCATGGGGCGGCGCACAATTGGCCCAGCGTCGTCCAGGGTAGGGGAGGGAATGGCCGGCAGGGATGTAGCTCAGTTGGTAGAGCATGGCGTTTGTAACGCCAGGGTTGTGGGTTCGATTCACACGGGGGACCCGTATGAAAAATATAAAAAATTATCGACTTACAGTTAGGGTTGGGCAGTCTGGATAAGAGCGTCTGCTAAATGACTAAAATGTAAATGTTTTTGCTCAAACCCTAATCTAGCACACCTGATTCTAATAATTAGCTGGTTGATAAGATGAATCAGGTTAGTAACACCTGGGGTTGGAGCGAAAACCTACAGGAGGGTAGCTCACTAGGAACAGGATTGGGCAACGCTGATTTAGACCTTCACCGTCTCTGGTCCACACTCCAGTCTAATTGGTGGCGGTAATGCACCTTAAAGTTGGTTGCCAACCCCCATATAAAATCCACAGAAGAAGACGAAACGTCTGACGTCACTTTGGCGCGGAACATTTCAATCGCGGTTACTGTCTGTGTGTTGTTGTTAGCCACCAAGTTTATAGCAAGGCATTTGCATTTAAATACAATTTACCACGACGGAAAACTGCAAGACAGCATGCAGCGAAGCATAGCGTAAGTAACTTTAACGTTTTAGAACAGTCAGTCACTTCGACATTATTAGCCAAGTAACTTCAAGCTTGCATGTTGTGCGAAACTGGCTAGCTAGCTAGCTAACCAGTTAGCTAGACAGCCAGGTAGGTACACTGTCAAATTAGTTCCTTGCCATCTAACTTGCTTAGGAAATAGGAACAATTAACTATCCAAGTTAGATAACTGGCTTCTGTATGGTTGCAAAGATGTGAACAACGCACGACAGGTCATGCTCCATTGGCACATTTGTGTTGATCATATAACTAGGGTGTTACTGGGGTAAAATAAACAGCTTTTAGAGCTGAACTGAGTGTACCAAATGATACATTTTACATTTACATTTTAGTCATTTAGCAGACACTCTTATCCAGAGCGACTTACAGTTGTAAAAAAAATTCATACTGGCCCCCGTAGGAATCGAACCCACAACCCTGGCGTTGCACTACCAACTGAGCTACATCCCTGCCGGCCATTCCCTCCCCTACCCTGGACGACGCTGGGCCAATCGTGCGCTGCCCCATGGGTCTCCCGGTCGCGGCCGGCTACGACAGAGCCTGGATTTGAACCAGGATCTCTAGTGGCACAGCTAGCACTGCGATGCAGTGCCTTAGACCACTGCGCGACTCAGGAGATACAATCGACTCCCAGAAGTACAGTGCACTTTGTTTCATGTCTGTAGGCCTTACCAGGTATTGGTGAAATATTACAATTTGTGTGTCCGAATTCCGGGTCAAAAGGTCGCGGGAGATAATGCACAGGTCAATGGCAAAGCCTTTTCCAAAAATGGCACCAACATGACACAGGTGGACTCCGATGAACAAACAAACTCGTATCAAGATCGGAATGAACTATTAACATGACATTTTCACCGGTTATACAATAAACGATATCGACCTACTCGCAGTAAATCTATGGTAGCTTCAACAATTCCGCATGCAATCTTGATAGGGGCAAGCAAACTGTTCCAAAGAATCTGAGCTGTGTAATGCCCCGTGTACACTAGCACGCTGTGAAACACCGCTTCCCATTCATTTTCAATGGAAGGAAAGTGGAGAGGGTGGCGTGGGAGGCGGTGAAGTTAAACTTTTACCAACTTTTCTTGCTTATTGTGCAGTAGAGGATAAAAAATACATTTTTGCCTATGGATGTGTAGCTAGCTATGTAGCCAATCTGTGTATGGACCCTAAAACCTTCTGAACTAATATTTATACCAAACTATGATCCTCAGCTATC